CTTGAACCCACTGCAATCTCCTGCCTCAGCCTCTTGAGTGCTGGGATTATAGGTGTGCACCACCATACCTGGCACTTAACTGTTTCTTTCTTTTTTTTTTGGTGGTACTTGGGATCGAACTCAGGACCTTGCACTTGTGAGGCAGGGTGCATGGCCATTGAGCTAAATCCCCAACCCCACTGAAATGTTTCTTAATAGGTGTGTAAGTATTCAGTGAAACACAATATAGCCATTATAATCACAGAGCTAGAGCTCCATGTCATTGCTACGGAATGATTAATAAAAAAGGAAGGTGATACTACTGCTGTATAATTATGTTTATTCATTCAGTCATTTATTCACTGAAGTGCTATAGACTAAACCCAGGAATCGCACAGGCTAGGCAAGTGCTCTACCACTCAACTATACTCCCACCCACGTTTCATTTTAAAACACAAAACAATATAAACTGTCTATGAAATATGTATCAGTAATAAAAGCACCAAACAAGCATGATAGGAGTTGTGGTTGTTTCTGGAAAGGAAAGGGAGGGAAGAAATGAGAGGATGGGCTTTAACTGCATAGTTAGCATTTTATTTACACACACACACACACACACACACACACACACACACACACAGGGTTGAGGTTGTGGCTCATTTGTAGAGCATTTGCCTAGCATGTGCAAAGCCCTGGGTTCAAATCCCTAGTACCAGGCCGGGCATGGTGGTGCACGCCTGTAATCCCAGCACTCGGGAGGCTGAGGCAGGAAGATTGTTGTGAGTTCGAGACCATCCTGGGCTACACAGTGAGTTCCAGTTCAGTCTCAACTACATAGTGAGACCCTGTCTCAAAAACAAAAAACAAAAAACAAATCCCCAGGACCTGCCACCAAAAAGAAAGAAGGAGAGACAGACTAATAACAAAAAGCAACCATATCAGAACACCTTCAACCTTTGCCACCAGCACCTCCAGAGTCACTAGCAAGTGCACCAGCATTTCTTTCCAGAGCCCTCCTCGGGTTAAGAGTTCTTTTCATGTTCTGTGTCTCAACCCTGACCACATTCTCTTCTCACTCTTTCTCCTGTACCTTAACTTATCTTCTCTGCTGTGTCCACCCTATGGAACTTAAATATTTGTGTACTAGTCCTTGCAGCCCCTAGCACCTCTAAGCAGTGCTGACCTTTCCCTCCCCTTTCCATCCGGATTTCTTAAGATATTCCCATTTCCCCACTTATGTTCACACCACTGATGTTGCTGTTGCAAAGATCACCAAGGATCTCTGTCATTAAGGCGAACCAATGAGTTGGTCGGGGTGACTGCAAGTAAAGGATTTATACTTTTTGTATGACTCCTTCCCTATCTGAACTTTTAAATTTCCATGTGCATTGCTTTGCTTTTATTAAAATAACCCCTATGTTGCCGCCTGCCTCATAAGTGCAAGGACCCGAGTTCAATCCCCAGTACCTAAATAAATAAATAAATAAATAAATAAAATAACCCCTATGATAATACACAAGCTGTTTTCAATACTCCTCTTTCTTGAAGGTTCAGATGCAGTTAATATCATGGCCCCCCTAGGCCGAGCATGGTGGTGCATACCTGTAATCCCAGCACTCGGGAGGCTGAGGCAGGAGGACCGCTGTGAGTTAGAGACTAGCCTGAGCTACATAGTGAGGTCCAGGTCAGTCTCAACTAGAGTGAGACCCTGTCTCAAAAAAACAAAACAAAAACAAAATATCATGGCCCCCTTTCCTTTTGAGATACATCCTTCCTGAGTCCCTTATCACTGTAGTGTCCTCAGTAGCCCCTTCTAGGCAAAGGCCCCCTTTGCACATGCTCTGATGGCATCTTCAAACCTTCCTCACTACATACTGTTTCTCTGAGGGATTTCCTCCATAACCACAGCTTCCAGCACAACTGAGACAATAACTCCAGACTCTGCGATTAATTCAGATCTCTCTTGAGCTCCAGACCTACAGATCACTACCTCCTCAGAAATCTCTACTTGGATGCCTGACTGCTATTAAAAGTATCATATGCAAAAGCAAACTCACCATTTTTCTTTGCCAACTCGATTATTCTTCCCACTACACCTCATCTCAGTAAGAGGAATTACCATCTACCCAGGAATTATCATTGACTCCTCTCTCTTACACTACTGATTTTGTTCCTATATCTCTCTCCAGAAACTCATACTTCTTCAACACCAGATCACCTTTTTTCCTCACCTGGATTACTGCAATACTTAATTGATCTCTCAGTTGTTTGCTAGATGCCAGCCAGAGCAAGCCTTCAAAACAAAAACTGAGTATGTTGCCACTCTGCTTACAATACTATATTGGCTTGGGAGGCTGAAGCAAGAGGTTTGCAAATCAGAGTCTCACCTGGGCAACTTAGTGAGACTCTGTCTCAAAAAGGGCTGTGAATGTAGTTCGGTATGAAGGCTCTGGGTTCAATTCCCTAGCACTACAAAATAAAACAAAAAAATTCATTAGCTGTCCATTGTTCCAGACTCCTCGACACACAGCAACAGAGAGGCCTTCATGACCTGTGACCTCTCCCAAGATTATGCACCTCAGTTCCTGGAATTAGTCACCGCCTCTTGCTCCAAGTCTTCTGCTCTTGCTGCTTCTTCACCTGGCATGCCCTCTTCTCCCTGATCCAGCCCCTTCAATTATCAGTTCAAGAGTCACTTTCCCACCAGGCCTTCCCGGTACCCTAGACTCAGCTCCTTTATTGGGTTTTCCCCTGGGATGTGCACCTCACCTCTCAGTGTGTGTCCTGCTTCTTGTGCCATTTAAACATCTGTCTCCTAAGGGCAGGACTAGGTCTCTCCATCAGCCTTTTATCCCCAGTGCACAGGGCATGTGTTCCACAGATATGCAAAAATGTGGTGTTTGGCCTCAGTTCTTAGCTTACTGGAGTTACAAACACACAAAGAAATAATTGGAAGGCGAGGAAGTAAATGCTATAACAGACCACACACATATGTATGGGCACCTGTGGGGACAGAGATGTGTGTGTCTATACATGAAGTCCTGAGAGAATACAGCTAACCTTCCGGGTTAAGTAGAGAAAGGTGACATTTAAATTGGCTTATCATTCACTCCATTTATTCAGTGAATAATCTGGTACCTATTTGGTGCCAGGCGCTGTTCCAAGTACAAAGGATAGAGCAGAAAACAATGAAGACATTGTCTCTGCCTTCCTGGAGCTTACTTTAATAAGTTCAGTAGTAGGCAGATATTAAATATCAGGTAATGATACATGCTCTGAAGAGTATAAAACTGTAGATGTTTACCAGGATGGCAGTGAGAGAGAGTGTGTGTGTGTGCGTGTGTGCATATATTAACTCTCCCTGTAGAGGTATCACTTGAATAAAACCCGAATGAGGGGATGGAGCCAGCTATTCAAAGATATGTAGAAGACTGTCCTAGGCAGAGAAGAATAAAATCCCTCTGTTCAAAGGACAGAAAGAAGGCCAGTATGGCAGAAACACAATGAGTATTTTTATCTCCAGCCTAGATCTTGTCCCTGAATTCCAGAAACAGAGCTAACTGCCAACTGAAAATCACCACTGGGGCATCTAACAGGCACCTCAACCTTCATTTGTCCAAAACCAACCTAATTTCCTTCCCTAATCCTATTTCTAAATAGTGCAGTAAATAACAATTCTATCACTACAGTTTCTTAGGCTAGAAACTTTAAAGTCATCATTAACTCTGTTCTACCTTTAATCTATCAACAAATCTTATGGCACCACGTTCAAAATATACCTGGAATCTGCCTGTCTCCTACTATCTCCCTTGCTATTATCCTGGACAGTGCTGAAGCATTTAGATCTCATCCTTTGTGCAAAGAAGAATCACTGGCTTTCCAGGACTGGGCAGAAAAGAGCATATGAGATGGCCAGAGCTGACAGCAGCTCATAAGAACCAACTGGGAAATTTTGGGGAAAGTTGCAAGATGGTTTTATATCACACTGATAGCTTGATTTGGGCATGGTGAGAGTATTTATACCCCAGATAATGGCAAACATTGCAATTCAATGCCTCTGCCCACCCCAAGGATCTGAGTTTCAATACTTACTAGCATACATCTGCATGTGCAACTCTTCACCAGAAAGTGGACTCTGGTAGGCATCACCTAGTTCTCTACAGGTATCTGTGTATACATTAGAATCTCCTAATGAACTTTTTCTACATAGAGCTGCTTGTCTATCTGCCTATCTGCCTTTTCCACTCAGCTGAGAACAAGTGATGCAGGTAAGAGATGAAGGAACCAAGCATAGGAAAAGGAGAATTTTAAAAAAGAGTTACTTTTAAGCAGAATGAATGGGCTTTGTTATTTACTCTAAGAAAACTGGGGACTGGGGATTTAGCTCAGAGGTTCTGTCACCTGCCTTGCAAGTGCAAGGATCCAAGTTCGATCCCCGGTACCGAAAAAGAAAACTGGTTCCTTAGACCACAGACTAATTTCTGTTTTTGGTTAGCATCTGTCTTCTCCTCTAGACTGCATTCCACAAGGGCAGGGGCTGCACTGTCGCCTATCTCTGTATTTCAAATTGAGCTCAATGCCTCAATGCCTATGAGCAAGACCTCAGTGAAGAATGAAGGGATTCTGGGGATGTAGCTGAGCAGCACAGTGCCTACCTGGTGAGCATGAGGTCCTGACTTTGATCCCCAGTTCCAAAAAAAAAAAAAAAGCAATGAGGGACAATGTAAAGCAGAAGGAAGAGTCAAAGACTGACACTTAGGTTTACAGCTTAGATGATAGCAAGAAATGTGGAAAAGAGTTGAGTGTGGTTGGGGTACACGGGGAAGGATTTGGGAAATATGAACTTGAAATGCCTCTGAACATCCAGGCAACGTCTAGCTGCCAGCTGGAAAGAGTCTTAAACTTAGGTAGGTTCAGGGTTTGGGAGACATCCTGTCAACTATACGATGTAACCCTGCCCTGTCCACTTAGAACACAGACTGTTATTCAGGGAGTAACAGCTTCCCTCTCTCAAGACTCACCCGAACCTCAGCCTCCCGGGGTCTCCCATTGAGATCACACTTGGACCCATTACCATAGGTCTGGCTGTGGTAGCGTTTCAGGCGATGCTGCTTGGAGGCCTGGAGAAGACATAAGCAGAAGGGATGGCATGTGAGACAGCAAGGTAGAAGAATGGCACCGCACCCCCATAGGGACCTTGTTACTATGGGAAGCCAGGCCCCAAGGGAATCTGTCCTGATGGCCACTGAGCCCCAAGACACACAGTAGGTAATCCCAACCCTCTCCTGTCGAGTGTTGAGGAGAAGCTCTCCATATGCAGCCAGACCCCTCCCTCTCCCAAGCCCTCCCTACTGCTACCTTGGCTGTTTCATCATCCCAGTTGAAGGCTGACTGGTAGTAGCCGAGATAGAGGATGTCACCTTTGATCTCTGAATCTGCAAGAGAAATCACAGTGAAGCAATACATAATTCTCTTCTAGGAGAACTAGGAGGGAAGGAAAATGGGGAGGCAGGTCACCTTCTCTGACAGAATGCTGAGGGAAAACATAAAGAGTAGTCACCTTCCATGTGATACTGCTGGATGTGGCGTCCATAACAGAATTGATACGTCCACCAGTCCTTGGTCTGACAATTAAAACACGAACAATCAGAGGGTCAGAGTGCACGTGCCTCTTCCTGGAACCAAAGTCTTTTGGCTCCAAGTCACACAATCTGTCATTTACTTCTCATCTCCTACTTTTACACTCATCCTCCAGATACTCAGTGAGCAGGGACAGCTGTTTTCCATTTTGTGGTGAGGCAAACCTGATAGTGGTTTTCCATTCTGTGGCTGGAGATATACCTCTAAAGTCTGACTGTTTTCCATATGTGGTCTTTCCAGTCTTCCCTTTTAAAAGATATTTTTTTAAAAATGTTGCCCTCTAGAGCAGGGCATGGTGGCACATGCCTCTAATCCCAGCACTCGGGAGGCTGAGGCAGGAGGATTGCAGCGAGTTCGACACCAGCCTGGGCTACAGAGTTGAGTTCCAGAGCAGTCTGAACTACATAGTAAGACCCTGTCTCAAAAAAAAAAAAAATTTTTTTTTGCCCTCCATAAAGATAAGAAATCATAATATCCTTGCAGCACTCCGATAAAGGAAATAGAGAAGACCCCCAAATCAGACATTAATTGAACTTGCACAACATTCCTTGCACTGTTCTAGTCTCTGAGAATACAGTTTTAAACAAGTAAACTCATTAACTTCAAGAAGCTAGTATTAGAATTTGGACCAAATATAAACAAACTGATTTAGTTAATAAGATGATTTCAGATACTGAAGACTTCCATAATGAAAATAAAGAGGGGCAGAGAGTGATGGGGCAGGTGGTGACTTTACCAAGCAGACTTCTCTAAGGAAGATCCAATGCTCCTACCCCATACTAACCTCTTCGGGTACCTCAATCTTGTTTCAACCTGAGATCTTCTATCCTAACCCCCCTCCACATTCTGCAAATTATCATCAGTAGAGACAGGAGTTTTTGCTTCTCTCTTGTTTGTATAATATATCATAGTCCACCAATGGCCTCTTAACTCCTATGGGTCCCTAGATTGCCCTATATACCATCATTCATTCCAGTTCTCACAATGCTAGTTCCCAAGCCCTCCTATTCCATCCATCCCAGTTCCTTTCACCTTCAGTAGGCAGGGAGCGCTTCTCATTGGATCCAACAACTCAGGGATCCCAGGCCCTTGGTAAGAGGGTGTCTCCTCTTCCCTTTCACGCTGGAAGTGAATCGCTCCAGCTGGCAGGCGACATTCATAACGCTGTTTGTACTTAGAGGAGACAATCACTACATCCGAAGCTTGGCTCTGGGAAAGAAGGGAGGAGGGCAGGGGCAGAAAGGTAAGACAGGCTGGGTTCAAGGAGAACGAGATCTCTCTTCAGACCCTGGGGAAGAGTCTAGTCTAAGACAGAATAAGCCATAAGTCCTCTATCTGCATTGGGACAGTGGGGGAGAAGTTGTTGGTGGGAGACTGGGTCTGGGTATTTTCGACATGTCTGGGGACCTGAAGGCCGACAGCCGGAAGCCCCACCCCTCCCAGTGCCTGGTTCTCAAGGAATAGGTCTGTCTGCAGTCCCCAGAGATCACAAAAAAGCCTTACTTACTTTTTCCAGTTTTCTTAGTCTCCCGCCCCAGACTCCACAGCTGCTCTTCCTCCTCTACCTTTCCCTCTCCGTTTTCTGCTTAGAACCCTCGCCCCTTGTATCTATTCACCTGCCCTCCTATGACAGGCAATGGCAGGATCTCGATCCCATAACGCATTTCACTCAGTTCCTCCAAGTTCAGGCTCCCGACACCGCCAGTCAGACTTGCAGGTAACAGGAATCCCAGGAACAGCAGCCACAACAGACTGGACAGCGGAGTTTCCGCCGCCATCTTTCGTTCCCCTTCTTATCCTGAGACAATCCTTCCGCCCTAAACCTGGCAGCGGCCTCACTCCGCCCATTACCTTCGCAAGATCTCATTGGTTTTGCATTCTGCCTCTCTCGCGTATCGCATTTTCATTTGTAAACGTGACTCCAAAACCTATGGGGAGGTAGACCACTAGGATTAGCCAACCAATCGCTGCGTGTGATTGGTCAGAAAGACTAACCAATCATCAACGAGATTAAGCCCCCCTCCCTCACTCTCCAACAATCCCAGAGGCATAATCTATACGCTCAGTTTTTTGAAGCCCTTTTTGTATCCTCCCCCAGATTTCATACTCACCTCTACTTATTACTTTTTCAGACATTCCTTGCAATGTGTCCCGTTTCCGCCGGGAGGAGTATTGAGGTGCACGGATGGGGGTGTGGGGTACCCCTTAGGGTTATTTAATGCTTTTTGCAGAACAATTACAGTACAGAAGCGCACCCTTTCTCACATATACATGTTACTTTAAGACAATCAGTTGTGTCAAAATCTTTTTACACTATCCTGAAGTTGTTTTCCCAAAAAATTATAAATAAATAATGGGGGCGGGATTTAGCTCAGCGATGCCCCGCTAGCCTCGCAAGCGCAAGGTCCTGAGTTCGTTCTCCAGTATACCCGTCCCCCACAAAAAAAGAAAGAATTGGGGGCCGGGGTGGTGGCGGACGCCTGTAATCCTAGCTACTCTGGGGACTGGGGCAAAAGGGCCGCAAATTTTGAGAGCAGCCTGGGCAATTTAGTGAGACTGTATCGAAAAAATAAGGGGAGGGGCCTGGCGTAGTGGCGCAAGCCCCTAATCCCAGCTCTCTCAGATCCTGGTGCAGGAAGCGCTCAAATTTGAGCGCAGCCTAACCAATTTTTGGAAACCCTGTCTCGACCCCGCCTCCCCTCCATACCCATGAAAAAGGAAGGTGGCGGGGAAGATGCTGGAGACGCTAGGAATGCAGCAGTGTGTGTTAGAAAACTCAACGAGCCAGCGCTGGGTCCTGGGTACAATCCCCAGCAGGAGACAAGGGGAGAGGGGTGGTTAAAAAGGACGGGGGAGGTCAGGCCTCAAAGGAGGAAACTGTAAGAACAAAGCAAATGGAGGCAAGACAACAGCAGCAACATTTTGGAAACAAAAAAGGTAACTTGAGAAAACTGATCGCTAAACAAAGTCCACAGCTTAAACATACCTTTTCAAAAGCTTCTTTGGGGAGTCTTAGCAGCCCCAAAGAAAAATCCCACAAAAAGAGTGTAGACTGGTGTAACCATTGTGGAAATCATATGAGAGATTTTTCAAAAAAACTGAAAATAGAGGTACAATCTGACCCAGCCATTCCCCTTCGTACCTTCTCGAAAGAATTAACAGCATCTTACCGCAGCAATATATGAGCACACCCATGTTTATAGCAGCGCAGTGTGTAACAGCTAAATCTTGGAAACAGCCCAAATGCCCATCGGATAAAGAATATGTGATTTTTTTAAATACAATCAAGTACTACTCTGCTATAAAGAAGGATGAGGTTTAGACATTTACAGCTAAAGGGATGCACCTTAAGACCATACTCTTAAGTAAATAAATAGGACACACATGTTTAAATACCACATTGTTTCTCGGTGTGAGAAACCAAAAGTGTACATAAGGACCAAAATGTATAATAGATATTAGGAAATGGGAAGAAATGTTCAAATGAGAAGGGAACAAGGGAGGGAGAGGGGAAAGGAAGGAAGGGACAATAAAGAAAAGTGAAAATAGAAGGAAAAAATAGAGACAAAGCTTTTGTGTGTAGGAGGGTGAGAGGGGTTGAGGAGAAGGGAGAATGAGAAAAAAAGAAGAGGCAGGATATATCATGTGCTGGCATAAATTCCCTGTGATAGGCCGGGGATTTGGATCAGTGGTGCCAGCACCTGCCTCTCAAGTGCAAGGTCCCCAAGTTTGATCCCCGGTACCAAAAAAAAAAAAATTCCTGTGATCAGTGTTATCATTATGTATATCTAAAACGTAACAATAAGGGTCCAGGATTTAGCTCAGTGATTCCGCCACCTGCCTCGCAAGTGCAAGGTCCTGCGTTAGATACCAGGTCCCATAAATACATAAATAAGTTAAACCTTCAAAATGAGGGAGAGAATTTAAAAATAAATAAAATGTGCCAATAAATGTTTTGCTTCAAGAAAGAAAAGAAGAGGGCCAGGGATTTAGCTCAGAGGTTCCACCCGCTGCCTTGAAAGCTCAAGGACCCAAGTTCAATCCCTGTTACCAAAAAAAAAAAAAAAAAAAAAAAAAAAAAAAAAAAAAAACA